GACAAAATCATAAATTTTATTGGATCTGTATCAGATAGCTGATGTGGCAGGGCAGTCAACTAGCCTGAATTTCAAGGAAGGACAGACCCCTCCAAGGAGAGATGGGATGTAGACTGGCTCACCTGTAGCAGAGCATGGGAGGAAGAAGTGTTGACCAACATATAAGCAGGTAAGAGGAAATCAACTAAAAGAATTGCTAAAGGCCAAACTGGGGCTAACATGACAGTATAAAACCCCTGGGAGCCTGAGATACTAGCAGACCTTGCATGCACTGACAAGCTCTTTCCAAAACCTCCACCGGGTGTTCATGAGAAAGACTTGGGGGCAGTGGGGTGCTGGAGCTCTACAGAGCCTCCCTTGGTTTGGAGGCATGCAAAGGAAGGAGGAGTAGGAAAGGCATGAAACCTTGCCTCCCCCTGGCTAGGCCCTTCCCTCATTAGGAGCAAAAAGGCCTAAGCCACTGGGGGAGGAGCAGAAAACCCTGTCTCCCTAGAACACAGGTAAAGACCCATTGCTGCTGGGACAAGGTAAGAAAAAACCTCTACCCTTGGGAGGGACAGGATTCAGTCCTGAGCACCCCCAGGATTTTATACCAATACCATTAAAGTCCTCTTGCCAATGCAAGAAGGGCAAGAAACTCTCCCCCCTCAACACCAACCACAGATACAAGTCAGGGTTTGGCTGCCACAGACAGGAGGGGCAAGAATGCTGAGAAAAGACCCATTCCCAAGGCCTGGGCACGAAGGACCTACTAAAGACTGAGGCTTTGGGACTTCCCTGGTGACGCAGTGGTTAAGAATCTGCCTGCTGGACTTCCCTGGTGGCACGGTGGTTTGAGAGTCCGCCTGCCAATGCAGGGGACACGGGTTCGAGCCCTGGTTCAGGAAGATCCCATGTGATGCAGAGCGACTAAGCCCGTGCACCACAACTACTGAGCCTGCGAGCCACAACTACTGAGCCTGTGAGCCACAACTACTGAGCCTGCGTGCCACAGTTGAAGCCCTTGCGCCTAAAGCCTGTGCTCCACAACAAAGAGGAGCCACCGCAATGAGAAGCCCGCGCACCACAATGAAGAGTAGCCCCCACTCGCCGCAACTAGAGAAAGCCCACGTGTAGCAACGAAGACCCAACGTAGCCAAAAATAATTAATTTTTTAAAAATTAAAAAAAAAAAGACTGAGGCTTAATTAGAACAAAGTATCCCTGAGTCCTCCCTGACTCCCAATGTAGCAAGCAGCTGCTGGGGGCATGGGCAAAGGCATAGAGACTTAACCATATGGTGCAGGTATGCAGGAAAGCTGAAAGCTAAGGATGAAGTATGAACACTTGAGAAAAATTCTTCAGCCCCAAAGCACAAAATTAGTGGATATGAAACCTGTGGTTTCAAACACTGAGGGCAACCATCGCAACAACAAAACCCAAACCTAGCTCAATTTCTGACCAGAATGACCAAACCCCACACGAATGGCCTGACAGAAGAGGCTTGCCTATTTCCAAGCATTAATAATATTGACTTCAGTCTCTACTGTTACATAAGTAATGACTGGCATTCAACAAAAATTTTGAGATACACAAAGAAGCAAGAGAAATCAACCCGTTTGTGATAGACAATCAATGAGACCCTATACAGGTATGACCCAGATGTTGGAATTATTGGTCAGGGACTTAAACTCTGATTAACATGTCAAAGATCTATTTGAAAATAGGGATAATATGCATGACAGATTTCA